TATAAGCTTAAAAAAAATCATGACTACTACTTTTCTGAAGAGTAATTAATAGGGTTGGACATAATCCGATTCGGTTCGACTCGATTCTAAAGATAATCAAATCGAACCCAAATTTTCGGATATTTAGTAAGATGAACAGTCGGGTCCAATTTAATTAATGAACCGTTTGGATTCAATTCCACTCGGTTCGGTTCAGTTCCGGGGTTCCGAACAATAATTAATTTTTTTATATTTACAACAATACTACATTAATTCGACTATAACATGTTCAATCTTAGTTCTTACAAAATAATGTAGTTCAATCTCGTGATATCTTTTACACCTCTCTTTGTTACGTTTTTCATATATTTGGCTGTTAAAATCACAGAAAAAAGAAAATAGCGAATTCACAATAATAGAATGGCAAAAATGGCACTACGGTAGAATAGGGTATTTGGGTAAAATTTGGGTCAATTTAATTAAGTTGGGCTTAGCTGGAAATTAAAAATAATAAAATCATATTTTGGATTTGTGCTAAATTAATTAGTTAGCAAATTTATTTAGAAAAAAATTACATAATTTGACTTATTTAAGATAAAAAAAATAAAAAAAAATTACAGAATTCAGTTCTTATTCGATTCTTAGTTTAGAACCAAGAATTGAACCAAACCTGTCGATTTTTTATTTAGATACCCGTTTGGGTATTTAACTTAATAAAAATCGCTTGATTTGATTGGGTGACGTTAAATTGAAAACACCCAAAACTTTTGAAAATTTTGGCTTGGTTTTAACTGAAATCACCCAAAACGACATTTTTGTCATTTTTGATTTTCTTTGTAAATTTTAAACTCATTTTCGGAAATTCGTTTTTGAAAATAGGTAAGTAAACGTGTTTTTACTGTTTTGAAAAATCGAAACCAGAAAACGATCTAAAAAGGGCAAAGAGAACAGTCCCTTATTGATTTATGTTTGATTTTAAAAAAAGATTGCAAATGTAATTATATGAAGTGTTGGTGTGATAAGTTTGAAGAAATTTTGAAGCACGACAGAGAATTCTGATATTGATGGGTCGGGCTTATTTTTTTAGCTGTAAATTGACAGCAGCGTTTGCCAGAGGAGCCAAAAAGGCGATTGAAGTATTGATTCTATAAAAATGATTCATTGTTATTTTCCAAATATGTAGATTGCTTGTAGAATATTATTGTTTATAGTAGTTACAGTAGCATCTTTTGGGAGGAGCTTCTCAAAGTTAAAATTGATAAAATCTTATCGTCGGTCAACAATGTCAAAAGAAATGTTGAATGGATTGACCATGATATATTGAAAAAGAATTTTTAAAACAGATTGTTTATAATAGTATAATTGTTAATTTTTCTTATCAAAAATTTTAGAAGAGGAAACTTAGGCCCTGTTTGGTCCACATTATTTTTTTTCATTCTCATTCTTCTACTTATTTTCAACCACACATTATTCAATAAAATAATATTTTCCATCACATCAATAACTTTTCTATCTTTTTCAACCACATATTCCCCATCACATTAACAGTAAAAATGCATTCTTACTTTCAAAATGTGCACCAAACGGGAGTTTAATTTAGAAAATTGAAAGTTTTAGGTTATTATTTTTGTAAATTTAAAAATTTTCATTAAAAATAAATATTATATATATTATTAAATATGTATAGGAGTTCCATATTTGAAGTTGGTCTAACGTCCCAAAGTTTCAGGGAAATTTAAGAACCAAAGGAAAGAAAAATGGTTTCAACTTCTTCCTAATTTTCTCGCAATTATTCTGTAGTTTTTACATCAAGAATTTCTTTCCCACTCAGAAATGACATGCAAAGGCAATAATCATAAATTCATACTCAAACATTAATTCAGACAAACAAAAAAATTTCCTAATGATCCGAGCGAGGTTGACATGCAAGCGGTTGTTAGGGGAATTTCTGCTAGCCTTTTGGTGGATGATGAAGGCTCCAGGCCCAAATGGTTTTCATGCAATAATTTTATTTTATTTTTTCAACGTCATTGGTCTAGCTCCTGTTTTGTTCAGCTATAAAAGTGGATAAAATTTAAGTAAAGTTAATAACTAATTTTAAGCATATATTTTATGGAGTTCGTAACTTTTCTATCATATATTCCATCAAATTTTATGAAAATGTACTAAAAATCTAATTTTATCCCAACCAACATGTTTGCCTAGATGTCCTCAATAATGGCAAGCCTGTTATATCAATTAATTCCACCACACTTGTGCTCATTCCTAAAAGTGAATAATGCATCTTGTCGAACCGATTATATAGACCAGGGGCGGAGTAAGCCCCCATTTTTTTGACAATTTTTTTTTAATTTTAAAATTTTATTTTTTGCATTTACCATTTTGTCCTCAAATGAATAAAAAACTTAAACCCTACCAATCCAAATCCAAGCATTTGCATCCCGACTCCAGTTTCCTCTTCTCTTCCTGCGGTGCGGCGATTCTTCTCTTCCCCTTTTTTCCTGTGGGCTGCGACGAATAGGAGCCACCACAACTGGCCAATCCAAATCCATGCATTAGTACTTTCTTTTATACATTTCCTGATTTTTTTTGTTAATAATGTACGTTAATTTATGTTTCTTTGTTTCCTTTCTCCATCACAAATTACCAACTTTCCTCATTTTAACAGATAATGTTTCAAAAAAAAAAAATTCAACTCTAGGACCCCTTTACTTCGATTAGCTGGCTCCGCCCCTGATATAGACCTATCGGCCTGTGTAATATGGCATACAAGATCATTGCTAAGAATGTTGCTAATAGGGTGAAATGAGTATTGCCTAACCTCATCTCGGCTAATCAGAGTGCTTTCACGTCGCGATGTTTCATAATTGATAATGTTATTGAGGCCATGAGTAGATTCACTCTATGGAGAAGAAGAATAATGGGAAAAAGGATTTATGGCGCTGAGGCTTGACATAAGCAAGACGTACAATAGGGTTAAATAGGCTTTTGTTTGAAAGAAATTGGAGGTGGATGGATCTCATTTCGAAATGTATTTCAATGGTCTTCTTTGCTTTTAATGTTAATGGGATTCTTAAAGGTTGGATTACTCCACTGCGGGGTTTATGACAAGCGGTCGAAAATTAGAAATCCTAATTATGTCTCATCTAGAGCAAAAATTGCAAAAAGAAAATAGACACACAAGATTTATGGAAGTTCACCTCAATGCAAGATTGCTTTATCTTCCGCTGCTGCAGTAATTCACCATAATGAAAGAAAATTGTAATAGAAAAAAATGCATACTATATTTTCTTTGACCTCTCTCCTTTTTTTGATGATATTATAAAACTCTAATGATAGCTTGATATTTATAAGAAAAATTAAGCAAAATTGAAATTACACATGTGAAATTCTTACATTATCCTTCATGAAATTTTGCTTGAGGGCTCCGTCGCGTCCATGGGGGGCAGGGGCAGCAGCCTTACCGCGACGGTAGATTCGTTTACTGGCTGTGCACAATGATAATAATTAGTGTTGGATTAATATAATAAAATTTGGAAAAAACTAATGAACTCCAAG